TAGTGCAGCACTAGAGTTTTTAAAGAAATCGTTGGGAAGGATTGGCCTTTGATAGGGGAGGGGACAGTTTCTCAGCTAAAGGAGGAGAGAGGAAGGCACACTGGCAGATGGGAGGTTTACTAACTCGGTGATGGGAAGATAAAGGAGTCCTAATTTCGTGGGTTTTAGTTTTTCAATGAAGTGTGAGATGAAGTCAGATGGTACTGAGGCAGGGAAGGAAACTTTCTTCGGTTTGGGGAGAGAGAAGACAGGAGTAAATTGTCGTCTTGGAGTTTTAAGAAAGAAAGTTTATTAGGGCGTGTAGTGTAGTTGCCAGGAGTTGGACATTTGAGGTTTGGAATCAAATATTTACAGTAAAATCAGTCTGTCTTTTGAGTGATTTTCTCCAGTTGTATTCATCCACAGCTGCGCAGGTCCAGAGAAGGCGACTAATTGAGCTACTCCAGGCCCGGGATTTGCCAGGGGTGAGAGAAGCAAGAGAGATGAAGTTGTTTGTAATGATTATAATGATAGACCATGGACTGAAATTTGGACAGATTCATCAAGAAATATTTTAAAACCTTCATTATGCAAATATACTTCCGTATCAAGAGCTCAGGCTTAAACTCAGAACATCTGTGTTCAAATCCCATTTCTATTACTGTGTGACCTTGGGCAAGTTATCTGAGTGCTCTCTTCCCTAGTCTGTAAAATGGGGATAATATTGTCACCCAGATCACGGAATTGTAATGTGAGTCAAGTGTACACATAGAAAAAGTTTAGAAAAGTACTTGGTACAAATTGAGCACTCAGATAAGCGGCTATTACTGTAATTAACATTATACATCCTGACTTAGTGTGTTATATATCTCTTTGCAGAGCAAAGAAGAAATTTTTCTCTTCCTGTGATTGTCTTATCCCAGAGCAATATACATAGTTCTTTTTCCCACATGAGTATTTTTACTTAATTCACTTACCTTTAGTTTTTTCTCTTATATGCCTTTATAATTATAATTGGAATGATAAATAGCAAACCTCACAAAATCCAGTTATGAGCATAAAATTAGGTAGTAGTAACAAGTAAATAAGTATATTTGACTGTCAGTTTTGGGACAAGCAGGATGCCTTCTAAACATCTTTTAAGGTTTCATGGAAAAAAATGAGACTACTCTAATGAGGACAAATGGGTTTGAAGAGTATCTTCCCCAGCAGTCATTTGCCCAGAAATCAGTATCATACCAATCTATCAAAAGCACGTGTACTTTGCTGTGGTCCTATATGAGGCAGTGTTGGGATACAACATTTCGTTTGTTGTTGTACAATCTTATATTATTTGTATTTTACTTCCTGTGGCTTATCAGAGTATTTTGTTATGAATAATAATAGGTCCAGGGATATACTACTTATTAACCTTATTGGTTTAATATTTTAATGAAGTCCATAAAAGGTGGGGACTACATGTTAACTGCGACACTTATGAGTAAAGGGCACTTTTAATAATTATACCAGGGCCAGGCGCAGTGGCTCACGCCTGTAATCCTAGCTCTCTGGGAGGCCGAGGCGGGCGGATCGTTCTGAGCTCAGGAGTTCGAGACCAGCCTGAGCAAGAGCGAGACCCCGTCTCTACCAAAAATAGAAAGAAATTAATTGGACAGCTAAAAATATATATAGAAAAAATTAGCCGGGCATGGTGGCGCATGCCTGTAGTCCCAGCTACTCGGGAGGCTAAGGCAGTAGGATCGCTTAAGCCCAGGAGTTTGAGGTTGCTGTGAGCTAGGATGACACCACGGCACTTGCCCCAGGCAAGAGAGTGAGACTCTGTCTCCAAAAAAAAAAAAAAAAAAAATAATTATACCAGGACACTAATGTATAATTCCTGTATACAGTCCAGTATTAAGCAGGTTTCTCCCAGGTGCTGAAGGATAATTTTCCCAAAATAGGTAAGATCTTAACTCTCATACAGATATAAAAAGAGCTTATGTCAGATATTTCATTTAACTCATTAATATGGGAACCAGTGAGAATTTATTATAGGTTCCAAAGAGAATATAAAGTGCCACATCTTTATAGTCAGATAAGGGAAACTGAAATGAATTTACCTGTAGATGCAAGCTGACAAACTAATCAATATCCACAGGACAATAATCAATTGCATTCCCATGGACCCAATTTGCATTTCTATGGACAAAAATCATTTGCATTGCTATCAGTTTTCTTCAGTTTGCAGAGTTAAAAATAGCTCAAAGATAATTTAAACTTTACTGGATACCCACTAATTTTTTTGCCTGCATCAGGGGCCTTCACAGCTTTTCCCTACACAGGCAAAGCTGGGATGTCTGGGCACCCTAGTTATATGTCACACGTTCTCACTATTGTTTGCTTTTCGTGATTTTGGATTGAACTGTTAATTGCTGCTTTGTTAGATTTTTAATTTTTTATTTTATTCTTGGCTAGATTCCTATGTCTGGGTTGCCTTTTAAAAAGAGGATTTTTAGTAACAAAATTACAATTTAATTTTCTAATTTACCAAGCTGCACGATATGAAGTCCCACTCCACTTTCATATTTGAGAGTAGTTGGAACCAACGCTGTTGACGTATGGGGGCGAAATACTACTGTTACTCTGTTTTGGTTGCCTAGTCTGGGAGAACTGGAAGCATTCTGGCAGGAGGAGCTGAGCTCTCTCTGCAGCTGTTCAAATAGTTTAAGCCTTTAGGTTCATTGTGGATTTTACTTAACCTTTTCTCCCCACTTGAAAAAAAAAAAAAGAAGAAAAATCCAATAGCCAACTGCGTCTACCTTTTTTAAAAACTGTTGTATGGTAAGCTGCGGTTATACTTTTGTAACCAGAGGCTGTATTTATTTTCAGCATTGGCAGTTCTGCCTAATGAATCAACTGGTACTGAATTCACAAAGGGAGATGCAGTTTCCCTCTCTCCATCTGTTTGCCAAATGTGTGTGTTCCCTCAGCTCTCAGTAGTGGCTGCACTAAAAAGAGCCGTTAGCAAGCAGTGTTCTTCTTGAATTCTCAGTCCCCTCCTGGCTGGGTAGTGGTACTTTCCCCTGGTGGTTCTGGAGGGGTTGTGTGAGGTGAAGCATCACATCTGTGACTCTAGAGGAAGTGTACTTATATTTCTTGTTTAAGTATAAAGTCCGGCTCTGCATTACTGATGGCTTTAGTTTGGTTCTTGAGCCTCAGTTTCTTCCTTCACGATGGGATATCTGTCTCTGGATGGTACTGTTGCCATGGGGATTGAAATTACTCGAAAGGGAAGGCAAGAGATCGGCTGAATTTTGGTAGTCTGTGTAAGATGGGGGGCCCTGAAATTGCATCTTTTCAGCAAATCTTTTTTTAATTCTTATTGGTGGTAGGGAGGAGATTCTTTCTGAGATTCCACATTTCTGGCAAGCTCTGAGCCAGACTGTGAATAGTAAGAATTTAGGTTACATAACTTCAGTACTTGCTCCATGGTCTTTGCAGCAATTTAGACTGTAAAAGGGTGGAATGGTGTTGTTGGTGTCCAGTAGCAGACTCTGCAAGGGAAACACTTGCCTCTGCATTGGAGTTAAGAACTAGGGTGGAAGAGCCAGACAACCTTCCGTCTCTTCCCAAGACAGATCTTCACATTGCAGCTACACTATTTTGCTTGAGATTTTGGAATTTCTGGGACATTTTACATACCCAGTTTCATATATAAACTTTAAATATTTTTCAAAGCAAATTACAAGTTATTTGGGGTTTATATAACAGTGGTTATATTCTTTTCCTAGTGACATGCCCCACTTTTTGATATATTGCATAGGTTTTTACAAAACAATCTCTCTTAAATTTGATTTTATGAATATTTTAATATCACTCTCTCTTGTGTACTGTGCTGTTTCACTTAGCTCACTAAACAGTTTTATAAAAACTGAGTGTCATCTAAGAAGTCTTTGGAGAACTATTAAATGTTATTACTCTATTCTGGCCTAGATAAGGGGCAGTGAATTCTTTCTAAATATAAGGCCACTGACCCATCAAAGTTGTGAGCTGTTACCCCTCGCCCCCCAACACACACACAATCTGAGGAACCTAATTTAAGCACTCTGTTTATCTGTTTTATCTTCATCTTATTCCCCAAAGACTTTTAACTAATACATGAATTCGTTTTAGAATTTGCAGAAAAAGGGAACATAGAAAACTTGCTTTAATAGTGAAGAATAAGGGTCATGAGGAATCCATATAAAAATCCATATAAAAATAATGCTGGTTACGTGAGGGAAGCTGAGAAGAGGGGTGCAGGGTGAAAACAACACACAGGAGACACAGCCAAAGGGGAGTGGGGAGTCCAGATTCCCATGAAGACGGAGGAGAACAAATTTGTACTGAGGAAATTTCCACGCAAGGTCAAAGAGGAGGGAGGCTCCATAGATGGTGAAGTGATGTTATTCAGAGTTAAACTCTTAGGCCAGGCATGGTGGCTCCTGACTGTAATCCCAGCACTTTGGGAGGCTGAGGGGGGAGGACTGACTGCTTGAGGCCAGGAGTTCAAGACCAGAGTTGAACTCTTCATATCCCTGGTCTTTGGAAGTTTGATTAGGACTTTTCAAGTATAGCAACTCTTCACAGCACTTCTGCTGTGAGAAGATTTGTTCTGAATGAGAATCTGTATCTGCTTGACAGAAGTAGAATTATTCTGAAACCTCCACTGATCTGGGCACATCAAGCCTAGCACCTGAAGATCTATGACAGTCAGACTTTAGATCTAGGTTTTAATTTTTAGCTGCAATTCTTTTTGAAATTGGCAAAGCAGAAATTTTCATCTGTCTTTTCACAATATGGTTGCTCAAATGAAATTTATTTTCAGTGTTTCAAATATTAAGTAATTGGACATTGGGGTTCCTGAGTATTCCATGATGGGGATAATTTTGTGTATATTTTCAAAAATGTGGAAAAAAACCATTTCTATTTGGGTGTTTTCTGTGTTGCCTATATTATGTTTTATAGTTTTTTATTTTTTAAATTTTACCTTTTGTTTCCAGCCATCAAACACAGACAACCTGTTGGGATCATCCTAAAATGACTGAACTCTTTCAATCCCTTGGTGAGTGTTGTTTTATTTAATAGTGATGAATTAACTTCAACAACTGAGTACTGTATATTCTTAAGTGGAAGCTTATGACCAGCTTTTTGTACATGGCACGTTACGTTGAATCATGTCATTGACATGTAAAAGCAGCTGCATTTCTAAGGGTAATGCAATAAACAGGTATTGCCTTTCTTCTTAAGAGAATTGTGTGGTTTGACACTGTGTGAACCAGAAAGAGTTGAAGTA